TGCCCAGAGTCACTGGTCTGAGATGGGTGGCTATATAAATTGAATGAATGAATGAATTAATTAATTAAAAAAAACATGGCAGATAAATTATTGTTTCCCCTCTTCAGTTCAAAGCAGCAAAGTATCAAGCCACAGGTGCCAGCAAGAGCGGAGAAGAACTAAATCTGTCAACAAAATCAACTGCAGAAAGGATAGAAGGATGGGCAAATGCTGGGCCAGGCCCCTGAGTCCATCCCTTTTGCTTGAGAGGGGACTGGCAAGGGACTTGGCCCCACTAGGTTTCATTGCCATCCAATTTGGCTAGAAAGTATGCCTCATTTAATTCAGTGAGATTTTGAGTAATATTGCCCCGATTAACATTCTTGTCTCTTTATTTATGATTTGGGCAAGAAATGTAAAATAGGCCATGTTATTCAGGAAAAGTCGAGATGTGTAATTTTATCAAACTGTATCCCAACACAGACCGCAGAATAATCATATCAATTATATGTTATGGTGAATGTGCCAAATCATTTTGGTCTTGTATGGGAATAGAAAATGCAAACTTTATTCATACATGGCTGGATTTGGGCCAGAAATATTTGGAATGTTAATACACACTGAAGAAGGTTGACATGGACCATTTTAAGGCTTAACTAATGTAAGCAAGTTAGCATTTATGAGTTGCAACAAAGGGCTACTTTAGATGTCATAAACCAAACATTGTCACAGAATAGATAGTCCTCATTTACCAACCATAACTGGGACTGGAAACTTGGCTGTTAAGCAAAGCGGTTGCTAAGCGAAACCACAACTGTGCTTATGATCTTACTTCAGCTTTCCTTTGCTTTACAGGACCTGCAAAGGTTATACATGTGAGGATTGGTAGTAAAGTTACTTCATCAACATTGTAAGTGCAGTCACTAAACAAGGCAGTCACTAAATGAAGACTACCTGTACATATATTTAGCTAGTTATATCTGAGCATCTCAGTATGAATTCTATTTTTCATTTACACTTCACATAGTACACCTTAAAGCAACTGTATTACTAATAATACACATGAAGTGATCAAAAGGTAGCTTCAATAGATTCTTTGTTGCACTTTGTTAGCTTGAAAAAATGGATCTAAGTTGAGACATGAGTGGGATGAAATAGTAAATGTATCATATTCTGAAATATTGAAGGCTAATAATAATTCTAATAATAACTGTACATGCACTATCTACTTTTTAGTAGAATTTAATTGAAAACCACTAAATATATGCTGGGCTTCCCTTTTAAAAGGTCTCTATGCAAGTTAGGGCAGCTTTAGACAAACTGGGTTAATAATGCACAAATGCACCTACTGTAAGATCATTCTTGTTACTTACAACAAACCCTCCCTGTGTGAAGAAGAGATTGAGACATAGTTAATAAATATATTTGGGTATTCGCAAAATCTTTTCAATATCTATGTATTGCCAAGTCTACCATAGGGCTGAACTACAGCCTCACATAGGATCTTGCCCTGCTAGTTATACATTTTGTTAATTCAGACTGAACTCCATTATCCTGCAGAATCAGTAAGAGCAACCTGCTGAGCTCTTTAACCCAAGAAGCAACAATGGGTTGGATGATCTGCCAGAAACGTATATGGAAGAATACTGAACTGCAAGGCTAGGGTGTGTGAGACAGAATCATTTAGCTTGCAGGTTTAAAAAACCGCTGAATCTAAAGACACGGCTCAGAATTTCAAAACAATGCCTTTCCCAACCCCGATGCCTGCCTTTCAGTCTCTTTGGCCCTTTGCCCATCTCCTTTCTTGCTGCCAGTAGCGCACAATTTCAAATGCTCAGAAGTTGCTTATAAAGCGTTAACATAACATAACTTGAGTTCCTCCTGCTTCTTAAACTCCTTGCTTCTTTCACCAACTGTTCAGATTCTTGCTTTCCAACCTCAGTTTCTTTTACTAGCTCAACTCAACTGAGATACAGCCATACTTCAAAGCCTTTCATGATTTGAACCAAGAGAGCTCCAAAGAGGGACTTTCAACCGGAACACAAATGTTCAGAAATAGCAGAATAAATGCCATGTGAAACCAGTTTCTTAGCTAAAAGCAATAAAAGGACAAGAACAACTTGAACCTTCTGATATTCAGAACTTCTGAAGGGAGGGGGACAACTCCCACCCTCAATCCAGAAGCTCCTCTTCTTTTTATTTGGTACCAAGTACAGAGTACTTTAAATTACCTTGGGAGTGGTGCGGAGGGGAGCGTTCTGTCTGAGGAACGATTTTATAGTGCTGTTTCGACTCACGGAGCTAGGAGTCATCATCAGCATCTGGTTCTTCTGCACTGTGTGCAAGAATGTTTTGAAAGGACGTACGACCTGAAAAACCCAGAACATTATCAATCCGTGGAAGTCAACCCCGTGTCCTGGGTGTGCTCTCAGGGCTGCAATGCTTGCCTTACCTTGCTGGCAGGGCACTGAGGAGATGGAGTCTTTTTTCTTGGTGGAGAGAGCTCATCTTCTGTGTCATGTTCATCATCTCTATCACTAACTGCTCTCTTATAGCTTGGCTTTCTCCTGTAAGATTATAAAGGGCTCATTTCACACAGCAAGTCAGCCCTAACATACCCTTGTCTCAGATATAGGTACAAAGTATAAAATCTTATATCCAGTGGCTTATGAACTCACAAAAGACTCAGGGGCAAAATAGCTGCTTGGCTAACTATCTAATGAAACCCGCCATTTACTAGAAACTGGTTTTATCTATTTGGCACCATGGGCCTATTCTGGGGTTACCTAAGTTTGCAGTACAGTCTTGCAAGTCTCTCTTCAACAGAGGTCAGATTATCAATACTTACTGTGAAGATCCTTTCCAGTTTGGTATGCAAAGATATTAAAGGTGGGCTTATCCAGTCCTCCTTACTTAGGACAGATAATCATGTGACTTAACCTTTTATACTATATCCCCCTGGGGACATCTCCTCCCCCAATTCCATACTGCAACCAGCAAAATGAGAAGATAGTTAAAGAACAGAACAAAAAGAGCAGGCATTGTTTTGACGAAAGCTATTTATGAATGAATTAAAAACTCCACTGACCCTTAAGCAACGGACCTTCAGTTTGGAATCCTAGTAAGATCTTGGGTATGTAGATACACCAAATTTATGAGAGCCATTATGATCAATACCAGCTTTACATTCTGATTGGTGCAGAGGGTTTCAAAATTGCACACTCAAGGGTATATAAAATCCTGCATAGGCTGCGGTTGTAGCACAGGTGGAAGAATTATTTTCACATGGTGCCTCAGTAGTGTTATGAATGTCAAACATATACTCTTTATTAAATGTATCAGCCAAAGAATTAGAGGTAGTCCTGCCAATATTAGTAATAGGAGCATGAATCCTGAATTGGCTACTGCTGCTTTAATAAAGAGAGCTAGGGTATTACATGTGGAAGGAATATGCTACATTTCAAAAGCTAGGGGGCAAATTTTGCATCATAATGCTATTATAGGAAAGGGCATCTTTTCTTCCTTTGGAGGTGTGAAGAGAACTAGAGATTGATTAGGCTCACACAAGGCACTAACTTTGCACAAGAGCAACTTCCATAAGATGGCAAATAACCTGTGTGTGTGCCCCTGCTCCCAAACAAACCCAGTCATTGCACTAGGCTGGGCAATAAATAAACATACAGCCTAGTTTCAATAACAACATTTCATCTACATTTCAAAGAAAACAAAGATAGAACTCTGCAGCCTCAAAAAACAAAACAAACAACATTATTAGAAAGGAACATCAAAACAATCAAATTCAAAACTGTATCAATGAATGTGAAGGATGAGTCCACTCAACCTTGCACAACTCCCCTGAAACCTGGTCCCCAATTTCTAGACAGCTACATTTAACTCCTCACCCCATATTCACTCGGGATCAAGGTTTACTTTCTGCAACTAGAGCAAATCTTGAACTTTCTGCCAGTTCATCCAAGGAGTACAGGACCAAATACAAATAGTGATCCAGTGCAAAGGGCCGCATCATTGCAGGAACATGTCTGAACTTTGCAACCTGGACTCTGGGTCCTCTCTCCCCATCCAACAGCAGCCCAAACTTCAGGGTGCACCCTGGACCCCTGCAAGACCACTCCAGAGCTGTGCCAAACTGTGTTCCTGCTTTGTCTGGAGAAGCATCTGTCTAGGCAGAATGAGGTTTGGCAGTAATCTGCATATATTTAAGTGCCTTCCCCCTGAAAATGTGCAATCCCATTTAATTTTTTGCATCCCCACCCCAAAGCAAATACTAACTCAGTTTGAGAACCCCTGCACTAAACCATTATGCAATTTATGATTTGTAAATCATGGTTTATAGCTTAGCAGTACATATGAGTAAGCTCACTTGACAAACATGAGTTGAAATAAATTATGCCTTATGTAAAATATGAACCTGGTTATTTCCAAAATGAAGCCACTGCACAACATTCTGAATGCTCTTCAATTGCACCATCTATGCCACAGAATGACAAGAAAATGATAGAATAAGTGAGCATAGAGTTCACTTTTGAAAGGAACAAAGGATCAGTTCTGATGGCCATATCCTTAATAGAATAAGTATTACTATTACTTAATAGAAAAGCAATACTCTTTTATCTGATCAACATAAGTCTTAGATCTCTTTACTATTTACGAGAGACCATGGCTCTGTAAGCATGTTAAAGATGAAACTTTAACTCTTTGTCCAGGTGAGAGATTAGGAAGTATCCAGATATGTATCTAAAAGAACCTCTTGAAGAAGATAAAATTGTGAGGAGTCTCATTTCAGAAGAATAGCTAAAAACCTGACATGAAAGTTCTTCGGTGCTATGGCAAAATAATGTTCCCTCCAAGCAAAATTAATTAAATATTTTAGGTTGAGGAGAGCTTTCTAAGTGGAAAAATTCTCTCATCCGGGCACTAAGCAACCCCATATTTGCTTGGCTTCAGCAAGACTGCTGCATCTTAGGTCTTCATGAGCATGGCTTGTTTCTTTACCACTTAGAGCTGCAGACATTAGGAAGAGCAGAAGACTATGAGACGCTCCAAACTTTTAAAGGACTGAAATACCCCTTGTTTATTGGTGGAATATATTTATGTTTATAACAATGCAAACCTAAGACAGTCTGGGGGAAACAAGGAAAATTGGTACCTAAAACTGTCTAGAGGTCAACAATTTGGGGTGGATGGGTGGGTAGATCTATCAGTCCGATCTGATCCTCTTATTTGAAGAATGAAAATATTTAAATGAAAGGAGAGGCGCTGCCATATTTCACTGCCTGAATCAAAACTTGATCATTATGTGATCTGTCTTCAGGATTAAAGAAAGTTTTCTTAAGGGTAAATTACATTTCACTACCAGATTCTTCAAGGAAAGGTAGAGGTCCAAGATTAGCCTATTTAGGATTAAGATTGTATCTAAAACCCCCTTATCCTTAAATCTGAGAGGCAGACAGGGGAAAGGATAAGGATTATTTGAGAGGATATTATCAATTGATCAGTAACTGCCTCCTATATATCACAGAAAAATTAAACACTAGAGCTTTAGGGAAAAGTTTCTCTTTTCCAAGATTGTCTTGATGTTTCCAAAGGAAAGAAAAAGAAAAGCCTCCTTTGGTTTCAGCCATCTGGAAAGGCTGCATCTATTGTTCTTTCCTCCCATTGGTGGCTTCTGAGAGCAGTTCCCATATGGCTGGGATACACAATAATCTGCAGAAGTTATTAAATTCTAACTCCTATCAGCTCTAACCAAAGGTAATGCATACTGGGAGATGCAGAGCACTGACATCTGAAGAACTACATGCAGCCCACCTCTGGCAGGGGGTACATAGAGGCACCACTGGATTACTTTGGCAGGAAGCTGGTAGAAGATGCCTTTGAATTCCTGGAGGGACTGCCCTGTGGGAGACTTCTGCTGAGCATTTCTTAGTATTTGCACAGATGGCTGGGAAGACTAGCAGCAGGAGTTCCCTCAATAGCTTGGCCTGAAACTGATGACTCTTTTTTGTCCTGTGACTTGGACCTGCTGAGCTTTCTTCTTTGTAGGTTTGCTACATCACACGTTTCACTGTGGGTGCTGTGAGAAACAGAGGCAAGGAAAACAGAAAGAAACTGTACACCCTTTTTTCTTAAAGAAATTAAGGTTACAATGCTCTGAAAATAGAGAAGTTTCAAAATCTTTGGAAGGAGAGGTTTGGGGAAGGAGGAGTTGCCTCTGTTCTGAGCAAAACACAGAAGAACTGGGAAGGAATTTACTAAAGGAATATAGCTTTTGATACTAAGTCACGTGGTTCCCTGTAATTAGCTAGGAAGATTTACACCTTATCCTGACTGATTGATTATCATCAAGTCATTTTTGACTCCAACAACCACATAGATTTTCTCTATGACAATCTATCTCTAATCTGTCCTTTCAAGTCTCCCAACGGTGCACTCATCACCACTGTAACTGAATTCATCTGCTTTGCTGCTGGTCATCCTCTTCCAACTTTCCCAGGATTGCAGCTTTTTCTAGAGAGCTGAGAACTCTGGTTTGATTTTTTCAATGAACCATCAGTTTGTTTCCTTGGCTGTCCACAGTATTCTCAGGAGTCTTCTCCAACACCAAAGTTCAAAGGTGTTAATAATCTTCCTATCCTGCTTCTTTGAAGTCCAGCTTCCACTTCCATAGAGTGTCCCAGGGAATACTATGACTTGTACAGTTCTAATCTTTGTAGGTATAGACATATCATGGCATTTGAATATCTTTTTCAAGGCCTTCATGGCTGTTCTACCAAATGCTAGTCTGTGACATAGTTCTTGACTCCTTTCTTTACTGTTGATGGTTGATCCTAAAAGGCAGAAGCTATCCACCACGTCAGTCTCTTCACTGTCAGTTCTAAGGCTGATTGTTCTATCTGTTGTAATTACTTTTGTCTTCTTTATATTTAATTTTAGTCCCATTTTTTCACTGTGCTCTTCGAGTTTTAGTACTAAGGCTTGCAAATCCTTTGCATTTTCGGCTATCCTGACTTATCCTGACTACCTCTTATATCCAAAGTAGAAAGGATCCCCTCCTTATTTTCCTCCCTCTCTCTAGATCAGAGTTTCTCAACATAAATCAGTGTTTTTAAAACTTGGCAACTTTAAGATGTGGGGACTTCAGCATGCTGCCAAGGGAATGCTGGGAGTTGATGTCCATGTATCTTAAAGTTGCCACAGTTGAGAAACGCTGCTCTAGATAAATCTTCCTCAACTTGCCCTTCTCATGTCTTGGACTACAATCTTATTATCATCCCCTAATCAACATAGCTGCTTAGAAGATTCCTAAGACTTAACACATTAATTGGCAATAAAGTCAACACTAATTGTTTAAATAAAACTGATCAAAGAGTTTTTATCAAGAGGCAAAGAAACGTACCGGGCACTGTGAGGCTGCTTTTGTAACTTATCACTCATTTCAGAGCTGCCTTCTGCATATAAAGAGAAACAGAGAGTGAGTAGTGTTCAATAAGCGTTTGGCTAAGTTAGGTGAGAGGCAAAGTTGTTTCATCAACAAATAAATAAGTAGTCAATTGTCAGGGCAAAATGTTCATATGTCTACAAATTCTTTCTACAGAAAATATGCATACAAGCTGTTATTTAAAGTATTAACTAAATAGTAAAGAAAGTAAATAGCAGCTCTCTACCTCTTCCTGTCCATGAACAGGCTACAGTTGTGCTAGATTAAAACCAGAGTTTTTAAACCATTTCTATAAACCCAGAGTAGTGCCAAACCACTATCCTAATTTTAATAAATTAATTTCTTAATACATAACTTACTGTAGCAGTCTTTGGGGTTCTGAATTACTTGACTTCAAAAGTCTGAAGCTGGAAGTACTATTTATGCAATAGGGCCAATTAGATTTTACATGTAGTCCTCGAGTTACAACCATTCAAAGTTGCGATGGTGCTGAACGAAGTGACTTATGACTGGTACTCAAAGTTCTGGTCTTTGCAGTGCCCCTGCAGTCACATGAACAAAATTTGGGCGCTTGGCAACCAGCTGGTGCTCACAACCAGTTGCAGTGTCCCGCGATCATATGATTGCCATTTGCGACCTTCCCTGCCAGCTTCCCCCAGGCAAAGACAATGGGAAGCCAGCAAGGAAGGTCGCAAGTTGCTGGGGTAAGTCTCTCCTGCTGCCTCAGCCTTTCTTTGCTCACATGCATCGCCCCCTCCTTCCCCCCTTTGCTCGCACACACCCTGCACCCTGTTTCCCCAGCCTCCCTGTGATCACACACATACACGCATGCACCCCGCACTGTTTTTCTCCAGCCTCCCTGCAATCGCATGCACCCCAGGGTCTCATTCCCCGGCCTTTCTGAGCTTGCACTACACTGAGCACCCATTCCCCCAACTCGTGCACAGCCTGCACCAGGCCTCCCCGACACCCCTGCGGCACTCCCTCTGTTTCCCACATGTCTTGGGTTACGATGACAACCGGGACTACCTGGATTGCCATCACTAAGCAATGTGGTCATGTGATGTCACACTTCATGACCTCATCACTTAACAGCAGCAATTCCGGTCCCAATTGCAGTTGTAACTCAAGGACTACCCATATTTTCTGCCTCTGTTCTAGTGGCATATTTGCTTTGAATTAAAAATTTGACTTCAGCACACACTGTTTCTGCACAATAATCTTGTGAGGCTGATTAAGTTAGACCTACCTTATCTAAGCAGCAAAAATCCAGATGACCACTAGATGATAGCAAAGATTTAGAACTCTTATCTAGGATTTTTGCAAACCCACTATGATAGGCATAATTAAGAGACTAGCAGCATAAATTCAGCCAGTCAGCTTCATGACAAAAATAAAGACTGAACACTTTAATAAAGAGATGCACAGGTTTTTAGGCCAAGGACCCACAACTTAGCCTCCCAGCCCACCTTTTGATAATGGAGGAGCAACATTGGAAAGGGCAAGGTCAAACATGTTTGGTCGAGTGGGGAATATCGGGGTGTGGGGGGGAGAGGGAGTTGAAAAATAAAAAAAGAATTGTGTCATCTTCCAGAAATCTTGTGGTCACATTCCCACCCTTATATTTCCTGCCTAAACCTGGCTATTTTGATATTAAATTCAATAAAGATAATTTATTCAGTGTATATGGCTGCCCACTTACCAGGTAACTCTGAGCAGCTAACAAGCTAACAAGAATTAAAAACTTAAAATATTTCCTTAAAATAGAAAGGGGGGGGGGGAAAAAAAACCATAACAGAATAAAGCATACTGCACTGGGGGCTAGACACACAATTCATATAGTTACAACTGGGCCAGCTCCTGGGGGAAGAATTAGGTTTTCTAGGCCTTCTTAAAGGCCAGTAGGGTCAGGGCAAATCATGTTTCTGGGTGAAGACTGTTTGATAGGCCAGACACAGAGAGCATGTTTCCTGGGTCCTGTAAGTGACAATGTTTAATTGATGCAACCCGGAACATAGCAACTCTCAAGTTTTAAAGGATGGGCAAAGGTAACTGGAGACAGATGGTCTTGCAAATATCCAGACCCTGCAGCTTGATATGTGTTACAGGCAGCCATCAGTATCTTGAATTGCAATTGAAGCCCACTGATAGCTAGTGCAGCTTACCCAGTAGCAGTGTTGCATGGCTGTACTGAGATGCACTGATGCGCTCATGCAGATGCGCAAATGCATTCATGCTGCTACAGCCTAGATCAGCTGTAGTCTGCGTGGTCTTCAAGGGCAGCTTCATGTAGAATATTTTACAGTACTCCAGAAAAAAGTAACCAAGGCATGAGTGACATTGCTAATTTTAATTTGTGTGTTTAGCTATTTATATTGTTTTTGTTTTAAATTTTTATTAGGTGCCTTGAGTGCTTGACAGAGCAAAAATGCAGGGTATACATCAAGTCTAATCACCAATGAAAGATGGCTGAGTCTCTCCCTCCCTCCCCAAAACCCTATTACCACTATTAAACTGGCCAAGTACCCTCAAATAATTGGATTAGTACTGAATAAATAAGATTAGGGTTTTGTCTTCCTTAGGCATGTCCCATCTGCTTCAAAGTTCATTATTCTTGCCACTCAGCTAACTGAATATACTGACCGTCCCAGCCTCCTTTGTGCTGTTTTTCTTGGGATTGGAGAGTTTCTGGCATGCAAGTCTTGTTAGAACAAAGAGATTTCCTGAGATTTTCATCAACCTGTGGTAAAGGCAATCATATTCTGAATATATATCTGTCCAGGCAAATCATATAGAGTCATTAGTTGACCACTGATTTAATGGCTTAACCTAAATATAATTTCTTTCATTGAAATTTACATTTCACCTCCTGAAATCAATGGGACTTAAATGACAGAGAAATCCTGTGTTATGAGTATGATTAAGTCAAAGTCTAATGCATGGTTGAGAAATATTAAGCATAGAAATGGGCCGGAAATTTTTCACTTCAGATAAGTTTGGCAGTTTCAGAATTGTACGTTTGCTTTCCAGATGATCTAACACTTTAGCAAGGACCATAAGGCTCCCCAAACATAATTTATATATTCTTTCGGGACATCTCTCCGGTTCAACTATCTTTGTAACAATATCTTAATAAAAACTGTTCAGTTATTGACAGCCACAAATATAATGCTCACATCACTTTAATACAAACTGTTTTAAAGCAATAAAAAACAATAAAAGCACTTAGAAATGCAAAGCCCCTAACAGGGACAGTTTGATTGTACCAGTCACCTCCAGGATGGTTGATATAAGGGATTATACCAAATCTCCATTACTATATTAATTAATGTACACAACTATTATTATTTATCAGATTTGTCACCACCCATCTCACTGAATGACTCTGGGCAGTTTACAACAAAACTAAGAATGTCCTAATGCACTCGTAGGCTCTTTCCCACTTAGCAGTACCAAAATGGTCAAGACTTGACCAGAAAAGCTATAGGCTTTTATCTTGGCAGGTCTACCTGCCAGACTCCTGCTTTAGTGCCAGTCAGATTAGACAAGAAAGTATTACATTTAGCCAAGGGCAAGTTGCTTATGAATTTTTTCATCCTATAGTACAAGCTCAAAAAAGTTGTATGATGTAGCAATGTATAAATTTAATACAATAAATACATATAAGGTACCAACCATAAATATAAGAAGCCAAACTTCTACCATTTGACAGCGAAGGAATTATTTGGAAACACTAAGGATAAAACATTTATAGCTGGCTATCTGAAATTTAACATGTGCTCTGATATGTGGCTGTCAATAGTCCCAGTAGTGGGATAGATGTGTCCTTATCCAGGGGACAAAATATTATCACTTGCTCCTCTAATACAGATGAGATTTGACCAGTTAGGAATTGTCCCGTTGAGGCTCCAAAGTGCAGTTCAGCAGATAGAAGGACTACACAAAGCATTCAAAAGAGGTGCTTTGCAATATGTATTAACATCAGCAAAGTCCTCCCTGTTCAAAACACTTCTTTGGCAGGCTTACATGTACACACATACACAGAGTTAGAGACAGCCTTAGAGGTAGTTATGCAACTCTACCAAAGGACGTAGATGATTAATGCTTTTTGAAGGAGTGCTCTGCTCAAACATGATTTTTTAAGCATCTATTTTAACTTACCTCCTGAGAATGAGACATAGAATCTAACTTTGCTCTATGGGAGAAAAAAAAAGAAAGAACATGAGATATATAGTATCAAAACTATAGATTTGTTTTTACTAGTAAGATTTTAATTAAGATTGTCCAAAGCCCACTGATTCTAGAGAGTTCTGTTACTCTCTAGACCATGCCAAACCTCCTCCACCTAGAACATGCTTTTCAGAGGTTTGGCAGTTTTTGGAAGTAAACCTCCAAACCAGTAACTTGGATATGGTTCCAGGCCCAATTTTAATTGTTCACATCACTGTATGTCAGGCTTTACTGTGAATAATTAAACAGGCACATAAGAATCCAGAAACTTTTGATAAGTAGATTTTATTGTAGAGAAGCTAAGAAGCCATTATGAAAGAATTTGAAAGACTGCTGTGTGTGAAAAGCAAGCTCTAATTTCAACAGGCAGTGTTCAAATTTCTTGTGCCTCTTTCTTCTAGCCGCTCTACATAAGTAAGTAGAAATGATTTGGTTCTGTGTGGGACATAGTTTCTACTAGTTCCTTGTTTTGTTAAATGTCTGATCTAGTACCAGATTATTTACTTTTGTTCATGCCAGAACATGTCTTTGACACCATATAATAAATGAATCAAATGATTAAGTAAAATTAACTGGTTATCAATGATTCTCTATCCACACTCCATACTAGGCTACAGAAGGCTGTGTAATGCCTTCAATCAAGTATTTATTTTCACAAATCTTATTTGACTGAAATAAGCTTACCCAGATTCAGTACTTTCTTTATCTAGAAATTCCTCCATTACAGCCTGAGCTGAAAGAGAAGAGGCATAAAAAACATTTTATCCCCAACACAGGCTATACTATTAAAATAAAACACAACATCTACAAAGAGATCTTTTTTCTACTGCACTTTATAGCAGCATCCAGGCCAAAAGAAAGGTAATTCATTGAATTAGTCTGGGTTGAAGCACATGAAGCCTGTTTAACGTGCTGTTGGATATTCTATCCCAGACTACACATTTTTTGCAAGCCAGAAATCTGAGTTACGTCTGTTGAGTGATCTCTGATTCCTCATATCAACGTTTCCTCATTTCTTAAAATATTCTTCTACTGGCTTTTTTTTTAGTTTACATTGACTATTTTTACCAATTAGTTTCTGATATTTTTTAAGGATCAACTTTAAACATACATTAAAGGAGAAGTGGTTTATAAGAATGAATTTTCTCCCACAAAGATGCTTCTCCCCTGAGAATACCCACGACAGCTACATTAAGCTAACTCATCTGTTTTTCTTCAGCATATCAATGAACAAACAGAAAAAAGGTAGGCAACATAGAAATTCACATTACAGAAACCACAGGGAGAAAGTTATCCAGAGGTGTGATGCTGAATGACATCAATATGCAGATGACAGGCATCCACCTTTACCTTGTTTTCCCACCTAACTTCAGAACTGGATGCCCTCTGTGGATACTGGGACAGTTTTGAGATGACAAAAGAGGATAAGCTTAAACTTAATATAAAAAAAAAAGACAAAAAATCCCACAGTGATACTTTGGATAGGAAAGCCTTCTCACATGGACAAAGGGATTCAACTTGTATAATATTATCTTAAACTGCTTAGGGGTCCTTCTTGATTCATTGCTAACTGCAAGACAGATGGCACAAAACTAATTTGGTATGTCAGCTGCACCCTATCCTAAAGACATTAGCTTTTTTGAATCAAGATTGAGCTCAACTCCTGGTGATTTCATGGACCTGTCTATAGATGTAGTTTTCTTGGCAACCCTATAAAAGTGTTTGCTGCTTTCTTCTGATCTATCTATAATTTCCCAGTCGAATTAGTTGTGGTATTCTCTGGGTGTCTCCCACCCAAGTGCTAACTAAGCCTGATTCTCCTTAACTTCCAAACCTGGACAGGTTCAGCCAGCTGCTGCCACCCTATGCATTTTCCAAATCATTTAAATCATTTTCAGAGTGCCCACTTACTAGTCCCTCATGAAGGTCAGTAAGGCTGAGAGGTATCAGAAAGAGGGACTTCTGTCAGTAGTAGCCCCTATTTGATTAAACTGGTTCCATCTAGGGATATTTATAAGGGAACTTTGAAAACACCTTGGGCTGTGTTAAATACTTTCACTGTTAAAGTACAAACTATATCTAATTTTTTGGGTGCCTTTGAGTCAGTCTTGACTCCTGGCAACTGCCTGGACTAGTCCCTGCAGTTTTCTTGGCAAGATTTCAGAAATTGTTTGCCACTGCCTGCTTCCTAGGTCTGACTGGCTTTGTGCCTAAAGCTGAACTAGAACTCAGGGTCTCCTGGTTTCTAGCCTGATGCCTTAACCACTACACCAAACTGGCTCATATCTAATTTGAAACTGCATATAATTTAAAGAATTTTGAACCTGTAAAAATGCAGTGTTTTTATAATTTGTTAGGGAATTTTATTTTGAATTCCATACTCCTCTGAAAGGGCCACTCTTGGACAGGTGGCCAAGAAACTTATGAAATAAAATTGGAAAAAAACCCTTACTCTTTACATTCCTATGAACAGATGACTGCTGGATCAATTGCTGCTTGGACACAGTCCTGCCACTGCGTCTCAGGACTATTTGTTCCCTTTTGGTGCTTAGTGAGCATCTCTTGGCCAGAGAGGCTCTACAGCTTGTGGAGGCTCTGCCCATCAGGCTTCGGCGCACTGATCGACGGCTTCCTTTAGGGGCAGTAGGTGTTTCTGAACCCTCACTTAAGTCCAGAGTGGCTTTGGGTTCAGATAGTGGCTCATTTTCTTGTTGCTGTGGATGTAATTTTTGAGCACTGGACTCTTCATTTTCAATAGTTTCGGAGAGAGGCACATTTGCTATCTTCAGCTTACATGCTGCCCGTCCCTCTTTTGATATTTTTTCCTCAGGAGTGTCTGGGATCACGAGCACAGAAGCTTTAGACAAGGTTTGTGATCTCTTAACAGGTGATGAAGACAATGTATGGCTTAAGGCAATCTTTGCTGTTTGAGGTGGTGTTTTTTCCATCTGCAATTCTGCACTGCGCCTCTCATTGGCACTAATTTCTACCAGTGGTATCCTCCCTTTGGCTAAATCAACAACCGGATTCTTAACAGCAGCAACTGAGGGGGGGCTGGAAGAACCAACATCCTGTGATCTAGTTACACGAAGACAAGGAGAGGCGTTCTCTAGTCCAGCTTTCAGAATTTCCAGTTCTTTTTTGTGCTGGACATTTTGGGAAATCCTCTTTGAAGCCCTCGTCCGGGCACTGCTTCTTTTTGACAATCTGGTAAAAGAAACATATTGTCAATTACACAATGCCAAAGCCGGCACTTATCATGAGCGAAGCAGAACGTGCCTCCATTTACTTTTTTGCACAATAAAAGCAATCAGGAGGAGCTACAGTTTGCTAAAATAAATTGGACAAAAGATTTCCCTCATACCCCTGAGATAAAGCTGATCTTTAAGACATTTTCTCAAAATTGCAGTGAACAATATCTTACCTAGCAGAAAACTCTAGAGAAATTAATCACATCATAAATATAACATAGCCATTTAGACTAACCAAAGTGCTACATAACCTAGTAGGCAAACTCCTACCCAATTGATGAGGTCTGAGAAGCTGCCTTCCTTTAGATTCACAGCCCCAGGGCTAATGGCAGTGAAAGCAATTCTTGATGGTGTTTGAGGGTGAAGACATTTCACTAGCCATGATGTGCTTTCTAGATCAGAGGATCTTAGCTATCTTTCAGAATTTATAAATATTCCCAATCGGAGCAACTCTGGGCAATGAACAGGAAGCAAACCAAAAACAAACCATGCCAAGCATTAAAAAAGTACAGTAATATTTCATAATAAAGTCATGCCAAATCATCTGGGCATGAAGGGTAAAATAAAATGATTTAAGAATCTTTCTGAACAAGCGGGAGCCAAACATGTTGCATTCCATAATGTAAAGACTACTACCAAGAATACCTATCTCCTAGTTCAGATTTCAAGTGGGGGTAAAATCCTTTCAAAATCTTCCTCAATGTTTGGAGTTGTCAGATAGACTCATACTTCATAAGGCACTCCCTGACATATCTGAATACCATGCCATATAGGGCTTTATAAGTGACAACCAGCGTTTAAGTTAGGTCCTGAAGCCTGATGGTCAATGCAACAACATCAAATGTCCCTGATTAGTAGTCTAGCTTCAGCACTGGGCAACAGCTGCAGTTTCCAAGTTGTCTTCAGAAGCGTTCCTGGTATTTTGAGGAAGTTTTCAAAGAGGTGCTTCACTCAAATGTCTGTCAAAACTGAACACTTCTTCAAAGATTTACCCAGCCCTACTATTTAATGTTATACAATGTCAAACTATCATAGACTCTGAAGTCCTTAATAATATTTCCCACACTTGCAATCAAATAATCAGAACTGCAAAAACCTAAATGACTACTAGGTTAAGTGATTTCTGAATCTCTCTGTTTCCATCGAGCGGTGAACCATATTTCTGCAGCCCATATCAGGTAACTCTAAAAATCCACTTTATACTTTCGAACCAAACAGTACGCTGGAAATAAATTATGTAAAGAGGCCTGGGAATCTGGCCATCTGTCTGTCCATCATCAAGACAATTCTCCAAAAACAGTACACAACTGGACCAAATTTGGCACAGAGAGAGATAAGCCAAAATCAGGAAAAAAATCAAGTTCAAAAATTGGGTGGATCAGAATTGGAGCTGTGCTGGAAAAAAAAAAAAATCCAATACATCCATATGAAAGTTGGACAGCAGCTTAGAATCATAATTCCAAGTATAATCTTGAAATGCTCCTTTGTCCAATGCACACTTCTTTGCATATCTATTGCCTGAAGGAAACTGGTTATTGGAGTACAATGGTAATGGAAACCACTTATTTGGGGGGCTAAGTTTGATTTTTGTGAGTTAAGTGCAGCAGGAAATGAAATATTTTAAAAGTCCATCTATGAATGCTAGAATCTAACTTAGTTCATGTTTCCTCCAGAAGATTAAGTCTAAAAAGGTATAATAAGCTATTATCCTATATACAGCAATTCTTGCTCATCAGGCTTATTGTATTTCATATGCTTTCATCAGAATAGGAGATGAATGCAACCTTCCATTATTATCCTATTTTGTATGTTTTAATGTATGACCAACTCCATTAACATTAAAGAAACAGTTCTATAGCAAAACATCTGGCCTTACATGTGGTAAGGCCGCATGTGTTGTGCCATGCCATCGTCTCAGATTGTTTTTCCCTTTTGACACTGCAGAGAGACAGCACACATTCTAAACAAGTGTTTGTACCAATACAGGAGTGCAAAGAGTTTCAAGCTCCTTACAAACAAAAGAAAATACAAACATGCCAGAACATGAACTGACTTCCTGGGCCATGCATCTCAAGTAGGCCCAAGATCCCAAAGCTCTGAACTAGCCTGCACACGCTTGCTAAGTCTATCTTCAGAAGTTGTAGCAAGTTGTTTCTTATCCCCAAACATTCTATCTACCTGGCTTATTGTTCCTGTGAATCTATAATCCATATCATTCTGTTTAAGCATCCTGATTTTCTCACTATGTCCACATATAAAGAACCTGACTAAATTGATGATCAAACTAAAGGACTGGTTGCTGTGCAAGATTTGTAAAGAGGACAGGGATGAAGAAACAAAATGCTGGATCTTCCAAAGATCTTCTGGCTCACGCAGGCCAAAACAAGCAGCAGATCTTTTACTCCATCAGATGAGAGTTTTTAAAACTGGTTACTACTGAATTCAATGGGAGGAAAAAAAAACTTTGTCAGCCTGAGGTTATTGTAGGCAGAGTCCAATCCTGAGGGCTCATAAGTAAGAGGGACTTCAACTCATTGGATCCAAGATTTTACCTACAATATAATTATGTTGAATATTCAGAATGGCCCATCACCAATAAATTTATATCTATGGAGATTCCTACAGGTACAACCAAGATTCTACTCCCGTTCCCACCCTCCAGCCAGAGAGCACATCCTAGTATCTGACAGCAGAGGGATCTGAGGGTAAGGATTAATTATATGAGTCTAAAACAGATCCACAGTTAGATTGCAATGCATTTATTTATAGATGAAGATACGTACTGTATGTCTCAGTAGCCACATTCTGTCCCACGAAAAATTGTTTTGTACTTTAGCTTATTAGAGTTTGTAAACCATCCTCAAATAGTAAATTTATTCAGTTTACTGTAACTACTCCTAATCCTAACATTTCCCACAAATATCAAATGGAATTATACATATAACCAAATATTTGCGTATAGAACATACAAACATGAAACTGAAATCCTACCTCTTTGTGGCAAATTGATCATTCTTAGCAGAAGAGAGACATTTCTTTTTACCACGATTTTTCTGAGATGGTGTTTTTGGCATCAGCTCTGGTTCTCCATCAAAGCTGCTACTTTGATACAAAAGAAATGAAAAGAACAATTTAACCGCTAGGTGCCTTTATTAAGAATTTTGCCAATTTTTCCTAGGATATTTGCTGATCACTAATTTAATTATTCAGATCCACACTTTTGTATTGGAGGATTGGCCATTTTCTTAAAAAATTCAAACTAATTCATATTATAAAAGATGAAAAATTGGAGCCATTTGGAGCTCTATTCCCATGAAGGCTGGTTAGTGGTGGCTTGGTGCATTAGCACCTTTTTCTGAAAATCAGAAGCCAAGGAGCATCTCCAATAAGTAGGAGAAACTAAGACAAAGGACTGGATAGGTCCAGGACAAAAACTAATTTTAATTTTATCTACGTTTAAACTGAGTACAGATAAAACCATTTCCTGTAATCCATCAGTTTATCCTACTGTTTATAAAGATTTACGTTAAGAATTTGCGATTGGAGAGTTTCTAGGAGTCATGTCCAAGAGGTACCCTTGTACTAAGCTATTATTGTTTTGACGGATGGGTAGAAAAAAGAACAAGTTTTTAGTACCATTTCTAGCAATTTGTTAGTTCTTACTTCTTGAACATCTTGATAGCCTCTTCAAGAATCTCATCCATCCATACAAAATCTCTATTATGGACATTTTGGAGAAATTCTGTGAGCTTTTTATTTGCCTCCTCTTCCAATGCCATGGGGTTCAGCATCTTCAACATGGCTTGGCCTGCAAAATGCAAAGAATGACAACTTCTGGCTAAAGTCACAAAAAAGCAAGACTCGATTTTAACATGCTGCAAATTGCATGTTTCAATGTAAAGTTGCAAGAAGTACCATTTTCCTCAAACTCCACATTATCTTACAGTTCTGATCGTCACATTATTGCTTTAGTAATTTTTAATGAGTTGTGTTTTTTGTGTTGGTTATGTTTTTTTTTCCCTTGGTGTTCACTGCCCAGAATCCCATAATCTTAGCTGAGAGACCATATAAGTGCTTAAATCCTAATAATCCAGAAATGTTTAGTTATCTGATATTTTTCTTCCCAGAAGCATGCAAAAGCCAGTGATAACCTGAAAACCAAAACCAAAATTTTTCTACAAATATATTCATAAGAAAAGTTTTTTAAAAAAAAATGTAATTCTATAATATTAATATTTAATGTTAAAATATATATATTAATTATAAAATATATACTGTATAATTTACTCAGTGGTTTTCAAATGCTGTGGAATTGCAGCTTCTTAAAATGATAATGAATTTGGGTTCCACCCCCATGAATAAAACTAATGATTTCACTGATGTTAAGTTTGGCCAAAAAATAAATATTCCAATTCCCAGAACAAGTTTTGACAGTGCTCCATCTGCCTGCAAAACTGTGATCAATTTTTTAAAAAAAATTTGCATTCCCCCCACCTTTCTAATTGATTGTAACCTGCCAAGGTTACAACCCAACCTGCAGCTTGAGAAACCTGGCTGCAACTCATTATTTGATATTGCCCTGAAAATTGGCTTACAGAACACTAAAACAAAATTAAAGATAAAATTAATAGACATTAACTTATATAACTTACATATAACAAATAACTTCCTCTGCTGCCCAATTTATAAACCAAACCCCAGAGCAAATAAAGCAACTTAAAATATTAGAAACAGCAGAAACAAGAACAAACAGATTATCAGTAAGAAGCCTGGCCACAGCCCTCAAAAAAGTACAGATCAACTTTTGCAATACAGTATTTAAAACACAGATTTGGGATTTCGGCAACTGCTAGCTGATCATGTAAGTGGGCCGAATGAAGCAGAAGATGACTTAATTGGCTGAGTCTTGATAATTGAATGGTACCTAAGCCTAACTCCCAGGAACTGAAATTTTAAACATAATTACATGGTGTTCTGCCAGATGCCAGTCTTGACAAAACAATGTGACCAAAATCTTAAAGCAACCCCATCAGAACATTCTTCAGAGTTACTGTCTGCATCAGAAGCAGGTACCTCCTCATATTTTTTTCCATATAACACATAATTTGGAACGGAAAAAAAATTAGGGTGGAATAATACAGCAGCAAGGCTGTATCTGCACAAAATTAACCAGGCCAGATCTAGATTTGCACATACCAAACTTGGTTCAATTTAACCTTGGTTATACAGTATATTTGCGATTCAGGATGAGATCCAACCCCCGTTTGCGTGGCTAGGTTACGATTCAGCGCACCATCTAAATGCAGAAAGTGGATTATTTCACCAACCGGGTTAAGCGCGCTTTGCAAACCCAGACTCTTGAGTTTAGTCTGCTTTATAAACCCGCCCTCCGCGCCCCCTAGCGATATTTGACTACAGTTCCTATTATTCCTAACCGAAGCCATGCTGGCTGGGAACTGCACTCCACATTGGCCGTTGCTCGCCACTGGATTTACACTGAGAGCAAAATAAGACCCCTTGAAAGCCGTAAAACCCACTACTTTCCCCGCCGTTTGGCAATCAAGGAGCCAACCAGACACCGATCCTCCTCCCTTCCCGAAGGCCGGCTCACTCACCGCTCCCGCGTAGGGACAGCCCGTTTCATCCGGACCCGGCACAGACCCAAGCGCTCTGTCAGCCCTCCTTCAGCAACCCGCGGCAGGAACGTCGGCGAAACAGCCACCCTTGCGGCGCCCGCTACAAATTTCAAAGAGCGTCACACTTCCAGAGCTCCAATCAGAAGCGGAGTTTTCAAAGGCGGGCGACTGCTATTGGCTGAGGTGCCACCCGGGGAAGAAGGGAGCTGCGGTTGCAGATACGCGGGGTTCCGGGGGCGAGGCTTCCGGGACCTGGAGGAAAAGGAACTACGAGGCTTTGTAGAGAATACAGTCAATTTCTTTTAATAAACCCGAGAATAAACATTCAGGGCGCAGAGGAAAAAGTGCGTAATGTATAGCCAGCGCAATCACGTTAGAGTATAAAATCATTTCAGGAGAGCTGTGTTAGTCTATTTTTGTGTGTGCCTTCGAGTCAGTGTTGACTCCCGGCGACTGCCTGGACTAGTCCCTGCAGTTGTCTTGGCAAGATTTAGTTTGTTAGTCTATAGTAGCAAAAAAATCAGAAGTCCTGCAGCATCTTTTCCGACTAACAAATTTTATTAAGAGGCACACGCTTTTCGTGAAAGACTTATCCGTTCTAATAAAAGGTGCTATCAGATTTCTAGTTATATACACAATGACTGCACGAAGTGGCTGTAGCTGATAACACAGATATCAAAACGTTAAGGAACATGTCTGTTGACAGATATAGTTTGATTTAAAAAATGTATTTCTAATTAAGAAACAGGAAAGGCTATAACTGAAACTTTTGCAATGTGATTCATTGAAGAAGCGCGATCCTATAAATGCCCGCTCTGAAGTAAGTCTTACGAACACAATAGAACTATCTTCAAGGAATGTTTATGTAAGACTTTTTGATTATGTCCCATCAAGCCGTTTTCGACTCCTAGCGACCACATAGATAGATTTTCTTCATGACGATCTATCCCTAACCTGTTCTTTCAAGTCTCCCAACTTTATGTAAGACTACAGCAAATTTAGATATTCTTGTTGAGCCCGATGTGGATACAGGTGGCTTATGTCTTCCTTGCAAATCGAAAGCGAGAGAAAGTGAGAGTGGGATGGACAGCACGTGCGCTTATTTAACAAACTCGGATTCTTGGGAAAAAAAGACTACAGCTCCTCCTACGTATATAATGCTGCTGGACTACTCTGCAGAGAGCCGGCAAGGTCTCTTTCCCTCACCACAGATGCAACCGGACTCTTACAGCCGCGTCAGTTTTTTCAGACTTGTTGTTTACGTGCGGGGCTCGACCGGCTTTTCAGCCACGTCCTTGCCTTTGACTCCTCGCTCTTCGTCCTCCTCCGCGGGAGGAAGGCTCAAAAGCGCTTCGGGTATACGGAAAAGTTATTGGAAGTCGAGTTTAATTCCCTGGACGTATCTCTGAGGCTTCCTTGGCAACAATACGGAAGTGGTCTGCCCCTGCCTCTCGCTCCCTTTTTTAAAATCTCAGTCTAACGGTCAGTCCAGAGATGTTTCTGGTGGCCTCCCACCAAGCTCCAGCCAGGTCGGACGCGGGTTATCTTTTAGAGATCAGCCGGGACCAGCTACGTACTGCTGCCGCGACCCTTAAAATAGGCACCGGCACCCCCAGCTCGCTTTTCAAGCCTTTGCTCCCACACTCCAGCCCAAGAGAAACCATTCAATGAGGCTAGAAGGAGCGGCGGCTCCCCTCTCAAAATAAGTCCGTAGTTCCCCTGCCTAACTGAAAAAGTGCGCAGAGAGAAGGCGACCAAAGCGCCCTTTCCTAGCATAGGGGTGCGAGCGAGAACAAGAGCCCAGCAAAACCAAGCGAAGGGCAGCCTCGGTTGCTCCGTGGCGAGGGAGCTCTGGCAGGCAGCGCAACGCCTCGAAAGGTATCGGGGTCTAGCTTCCTCAAGCGCCCTCCGAGAACCCAGAAGGCTTGAATACTTTTCTCGTCTTTCTTTTCGCTATCAACTCCCTCCGTAGCAGGTTTTACAACATCTCTTGGTTTTCCCTCTTCCCCAAGACCAGCTGTTGCTTTGATCTCGCTTAAAGGTACGTCTAAAGCACCAGATGCAATCCCCCCTCCGCCCTTTGAAGGCTCCGCGATTGCAGCCTGACGGGCTGGTTCAGCGAGTCTTCTCCCTCCCCTCCCTCCCTCCCCTCGGGTTTAAACGTGCAGGGGAACAGAGCCAGTCGGGGCGCTTTAATTTAGAGTGGACGAAAGCCGCGGAGCGTCCGGGGATGCGACGCCGCTCCGGAAGGCGGCCGGAAAGCGTGTCCAGTGGCATAGCGCCCGCCCACATTTCGCAAGAGGCGTGTTGTGAGTTTGGCTCAGGTGTTTGCTGTTGTTGAAGTGGGGAGTGCTGCCGAAGGTGTGTGCTCCCCCGTGCCTTTTTTGCTATCTGGAGCGTGCTTCTGTTCTTACTGATGGAAGGGAAAAGAAGAGTATTTACTTTGTTTTTTAATTTGTCTTAATAGGACCCATGAGCCAGTTTTTACTTCTCGGCTCTGCGCTTGGTTCCTCTGTGGTCCTGATTGTTCGTTATTAAGATAAGCTAGAAATTGTCAAGAAAATGAACAAGCCCCCAAACAACCAGCTAGAATTTAACTAATTCTTCTGGAAGCGGCTACCTGGAAGCGTTTGCCCTTCATTCTTCTAAAAAGAGAACCTGGTGGGGCTTCTTAAAAAAGGTGACTCTCTTAACTTGTGCTGAAATCCTTGCGTGCTTTCATACAGAAAACTCATAGTATTATCATTGAGACGATATTGTGCTCTGGTTGAGCTTCCTTGACTTTCTGTAGAAACAAAACCAAGATTAGAAACCAGAAAAATCAGAAACAAAAAGTCATGTTTGATTTCTTTGCTAAAAGTCTGTGAGGCTGTGTGACTTCCCCCCCTGTGAAAACAAAATATTTCTTTTACTTTCTGTTGTTTAATAAATATATTCACATAAACCTTTCCTGTTGTATGAATAAGTGCATGTTGTTACCCTTCTCATTTGAGTAGTTCAGATGTTGTTTTCCTATTTTGCTGGAATGAATTTCAATGTAGACTTAAATCATTTAGCATCTCCTTTTCCTTTGTTTTATGCAGTGTCATGGCTGAGGCAAGACAGCCCATTCACTTTTTAGATGTTTGTAATCAAAAATTCTCAGAATTCCTGTTCAACGCCGAACATAAATGCTTGGTGTGGTTGAGAGAAATTGAGGAGGAAGCCATGAAGATATTTGATAGGTACAGAATCTTTTGAATCTTGCAAAATAGAAAGTTTATTAAGTTTTTACTCCCAAGGATTGTAACATGATTTCAGGCCATATTTTCACTCCAAAGGTTAGGGTTATTGCAGAGAGCAGGATTTTTTAAACTCTGTTCCATGGAACCCTAGGGTTTCATGAAAACCTGATGGGGTTCTGGGGCAAAAAAAAAAAAGGTGACACAGCCACTTTTTAATCAGTAGAGTATTGCCGCTTGGTCAGAGATTTGGGAATTTATTTATTTCTAACTAACAGGTTCTGCGGCCTGAAAAAATTTGAAAACCCCTAGCATAGATCAGCATATCCACTATTCTGCAAGAAAGGCAAATGCCTAGCTCCTCTCTTTTTGGGAAGGAGAACAAGGCTTTCTTTGGGTGGCATATAAATTTAATAAATTCTCCTCCTCCTCTATACTTCCTTTGTCCATCCTGTTCCAAATACAAATTAAGTTATTAGTTGGGTGGAGGGTTGCCCTGAGTTTATGGATTCTTTTGCTATCAATGTAAAGAATATATTATAAGTTGGTTAGATAGTAAGTCAAGAATATTTTAAGTTACATCTTAGCATGTGTCAAGGAAGCAAGATACAGACTTCCCTGTGTTGCTGTTAATTGCAATGTTGAGATCTGTAGGCTTTTTTTTTTTTTTTTGGACCAGTAACAATTTCAGTACTGAACCAGAACTGATGCCCAAAACACCATCTCAGAAGAAGTATCGGAAAAAGAAGCGGTCTTCATTGTTTAAAGATGAAAATAAAGAACTGATTAGAAAAAGGTAGCAAACCAATTAACAATATTTAAGCTTCTATATTGGAATTGTACCCAAAGGTCTCAGTTTTTATGGATTTTTCTTCTGCTATTTTTGTGACTCAAGATAAAGAGTTTGCCATGTTATTACAAAACTATACTTAGTCCTGTAGTGCTTCATAGTTATATTTTCATCTCCTAAAACTTCTGTACAAAAACTTCCTTTTTCATACTTGTTTAATTTCCCTGCAAACTGCTCAAAATGTCAGCCCATGAATTCTACTTAAAGGCAAAATGTTATCCATTACCCTTTGCTGGTAAAAATGAAATGGTTGCAGTACATCTGAACACAAAGTAATAGTGCCTCACATCTCACTTTTAAATTAGCATGCAATAGTCTAATTGGTCTGCCTAGCAATTTTATACTTTTAAGACACATTTATGTGCTCATTCATTTGTCTAACTGCACTTAGTAGTCTCTATACTTTATTAGGCAACTAGACAGTCTAGTAAATACATAGTGATGTAATGTGGAAATTATTTCTGTTTCTAGTGCCATCTTGTTGCTTAAAACAAGAACAATTTGATTTATTGAAATTGTTTTAATTTGTGAATTAATCTTTTGTTTGTTCTTTAAGATTGTCTAGAGGACATGGCAGTGTAAAGACTGCATCCTTTCAGAAGCTTTCTCCAAGAAGAGGACTGAATAACCATGATGTGAGGGACACAATATCCTTGCCAGATATTATGACAAACTCTTCTAAAGGAAGTTCAGAAGTACAGTATAAGATAGCTGTGGATCCAGGAGAGGAACCATTTGGTATTGGCTGCTGTAAAAATGGTGAAGTAGGAGAAAAAAGGAATAAGGACATGCATGGAATCCCTAAAATTTTTACTGTGCATTCAGATGACCATTTAGTTGATGGATCAAGGATCACTGATATTGCCATTATGTCAGACAATCCTGTCATGGTAGTTCCAGACACCACTGATTCAATAAAGGCAGAAAAAAATAGGGATGCATCAAGCTTACAAAGTATATCCACTCCAAAAACCTTCCCAAATGGGAAGCACAAATGTGAAGAAGAAATTCCACCCCAAGAATTAGTTAATAATAATTTGGACCCAGAGGGAGAACTCTCCCAAAACCTGAAAGAAAGCACTGGTGCCTCCACAGGGCCTCTATCAGGCCATCGTCCTCTAAGTAGACCACACAAAAATCCAAGGATCTCACTTGTGGAGAAATACTCGCTGAGCAATAAAAGAAAAAGCACGATTCGAAAATCTATCAGCAGGACAATTGCCAGGAAGCAAGTAGCTCAGGACTCATCATCCACTTCAAGTCGAGTAAGCTGTAAGTAAAGGCAATCACCAGATCAATATGTAACTTTTGTAAGTTGTAGGAGAGTTGATAGCTCCAACTCTCTTGCTTTTTTCTATAGAAATTATAGTATAGGGCTGTGAATATTTTTCAAAAGAGGTGTTTTTCAATGCTAGGACCACATTCAGAGTACCTCTTTTTCAATTATTAAAGCAGCCTTTTTCTAGGCTCGTGTGGCTGCTTTGGAAGCCTCTCCAGGCTGTATTTACATAAGTCACCCAGAGTCACCCGCTGGGGGAGATGGGCGGCATATAAATTTAATAAATAAATAAATAAATAAAATAAGTCCACAACTAATTCAATACACTTTTTTCCAGCATTTTTCTTCTTTTGGAGGAAAATTTATTATAGTATCACTTCCTCCTTGTATTGTCTTATGAAGTGGCATTGTCTTTAGTGCATGTAGTCTGCTTCCTGTTTTCGGTAGACTAGGCTCCTCTGAACAAAACACTGATAATTCCTTTTATTGCAACAAACTTTTGCTTACATTTCCCACTGATTTAATACTAATGTAAAATCTCGTCACTTTTTGTTATGCATGGTGAAAGTGAAAATGCGCTCATAACTGGATCACCTGAGATAGTCTTCTGATTATTTCATATATGATATACAGGATTAAAGTCCTCTACACTTCAGAGGCCTCAACATGTTTAAGGCTGTATCTACTGCTAGTTGATAGAGTAAATTCTGATTTTTGCAAACTTAGATTTATAGCTGAGCTTGCCCCTTTTCTAATTCAAATCTGGTAAGGATCTGCAGAGCAGTATTTGCTTTCATCTCTAAGAAGTCAAAAATTAAATCTTGAATATATACAGTTAGTTTAATATGTTTCTAGCCTTTGTTGGTAACATGTTTCCTGAAAAAAGTGTGTTTATTGTATGCTGTAGACTTGTATGATTACAGGTACTCATAATATTGTTACAAGTGAATAAGAAACAAACCTTTCATGGAAAGCCAAATGAATACAATTTTTGGAATGAATAACCAGCTGTCTGTCCACTAGGACTGTAATGATCAAACCTAGGCTTTGTGTAACAACATAAATTTTGGTGGCTAAATTTAGGATAAGCGTATTATTATTATTTAAATGTATGTGCCACCCAACTTCCAGCGACTCAGGGTGCTTTACAAATTATTTAAAAGATAATAAAAACAACAATAACAAAAAAGTAGAGATGGCAGAATAACAAACCAGATGGAAACCAAAGAAAACAACCTAGGTTAAAAGGAGACTTTTGTCATCCTCACCAGAGGCCTCTCATATCCCTCAAAGCCATATGTATTGAATCCCATTTATGCAACCGAAGGGCATCTGTAGAGTTTTCAGATGTTGTCGGTGGATAAAGGGCAGATCAAAAATCTGAAGGAGAAATCATCTGAACCCTGCTATGAACTGCATGTCAGATAGCATTTGGACAAGCACTGAGTCTTATAAATTGTCATAGATCAAAGGAATCTTGTGTGCAAAAATATAGCTGACAACAAAAAGGAAATCCAAATTATTGTGACAAAAAATAAACTGAAGTGAAGTAATGGAAGGAAGCTCAGGTTGGGAATATAGGCAGAATAAGCTTTGTGATAGACCACTGTATCAGAAATTACAGTGTCAATTTTTTTAAATGGCCTGAAAGTTTTGCCTGCTCTTTGTAGAGATTTGATCTAAAATTACATGTTATGAATCACATGGGATTCTTGCTACAAATTACATCTCCATATCAATGCCCATTAAAGTGGCATGATAAAACACATAACCTGTTAATGTTACCAAAGCAGGTGCAAAATGAGAACTTAGCCTGAAGATTCCATTTTTGATAGAAAGTCCATCTTATTCATAAAATGTTACCACGTGCAGTCTGTTGGGGATGCAGGCTGTCCCTAATAGAGGATAGATCCAACCTAGATCCTATTCAGTGTCTTGTCTTTTGCAATTTTAATCCAAGGACCTAGAAAGCAGAAATGTGGTTGGGATGCAGCTTCCAAATACAAAGGTTTTCCTCTCAATAAAAAAAGGACAGGAAAGAAGTTCACAAACGTATGTGTCTCTTGCAATAAGGAAAATGCTGGAATTCCTCCTGCATTTCCCTTTTATTAACAGCACTTCTTGATGCATCCCTATACTTACTACATTTATTCAACTCATGATTTAGTCTAACATTTCCATTCTCCAGGCCATAGTTCCACTGAAGTATTTATGGATGATGAAAACAGCAAACACAGGTAAGCAAACTCTTGAAAACCTTTGAAGGATTCTAATAATAATTTGGGGGAAACTCCACTAAACATTGCTGAACTTAGTCTTGAGTCAACAAACATATTCTGAATCTGTAAACCTTCGAAATTGTTTGAAAATTTGAAAAAGTTTTGACTAGAATCCTATGGTTCTATTTATATACTCAAAATTAACATATTAAATGGTTCAGAATCATACAGCATCCAGACATCTAATTATAGAATTTGTGTTTTTCTTGAGTTGGAAAAGAGGTAATTCTTGCAACAATGATGTTTATGTCTTTTCTGACAATGCCACCAACTCTTTTTTGAGGAATGGGGGGGAAAGATGATTACAATACATCATTAGATTGTGTAAAATACAAATGACAAGCAACAAGAAATAAAATTTCCCTAAATTTTGAATCAATGGGAAGAAAACAATTCAGGGCATAATTTTGTGATTTTTAACAACCTTTGAATCTCAAATAGCAGTGAAATTGAATAAATAAAATGCTATTTAAGTTTAAAAAAAACTCTGCAAAATGCATGAAATGCTTTGAGATGGGTAAGATGCTAAAAACAGTTGCTTTGTAGTATTTCAGACAGGCTGCTTTGATCATTTTGAGCTGAATTTGAAACAGATCAAATCTGAAACATTTTCTATACCCCATCTCAAAATATTTCATGCATTTTGCAGAGGTGGTATTTTTTTTTTTTACTTTAATAGTATTTTGCTCATTCCAGCAAGGGAAATAATATTCAGAGGTAGTTTATTAGTGAAATTCCCCCAAACGTGCAGTGAAAAATCAGGAAAGGGAAAAATAGAAAGAAAAATATTTTCTTCTCCAAATACCTCCAGGTTTTGTTGTTTATTTGCTTTGGTTTTATTCTTGAGTTTACCTGTATAAGCATTTGTATTTCCTTGGGATAAATATTTGCAAGGATTATTTTTCTCTCCTGGTACCTCTCTTTGAAGGCTGGTGTTAAATGTCTATATAGCACATTCCAGATCTGTCTCCCATGTTTTTGCACTTCGCCCCTTTTTAAGGACAGCTCCGTCTAACAAATATTACAGTTATCTAAATAACAGGTGACTAAGGTAAGGTGGCTGTAGTAAAATTCTTCTTTTCCAAGTCATGGAAAAGTTCACTACAGCTTTTATACATACTAGGACATAGGTTACGGTGGCACCACCTAACAGTTTTTAAGTTGACTTTTGGCACATTTGCCCATAAGACTGATCATTGCTGGCATCTTAGGAAACTGTATAGTTCAAGTCATTTGTACTGTGCTACTGAAGATCAGGGTTCTTCAGAGACAGCTGGGTACCTGGGCCTGTTACTGATTGATTGTTTTAAACGTCCTCAGAGTTAATAGTATATTCACTTTACATTTATGCTATATGCAACATAAACAAGTGAATGCTGGTTGGGTAATATTTACCAATTAATAAGAATGCTTAAACAATGATGAATATCAGCCCTTTAAAATCAAACAAATCTCTTTAATATTATACTGAACTCTTTTATGAAACACAGCAGATTCTCCTGAAAGACTTTTAAAGTATGGAAAGAGGACTTGGGATTTGAAGTTTGGAGTCAGCTTGGATCTCTTTGAGATATAAAACTCCCTTTAATTCTATGGACCATAAAAATAATTCATAGATTCCCGAACAATTATTTTAAATCTTTTTAGATTGTGATAAAGGGACTGTAATCAGATCATTAGATGGGATCATTTCTGGTGGCAATGCCTATTCAGTTTTTCATTTCATTTGAATATTTTCAAGAAAACTGGAAAAAATAGACAAATCTTTAATAATTCTACTGACGTTTTATGGTCCATTTTTTTCTAGGATATATAAATGATGAACACAAGACATTATTTTTTGTTGTTAGGTGCTAGATTTACTATGGCAAAATGCTGGAAAAGTAAAATACATTTTAATCGTTGATCAGTGCAGGAAATAGCATTTGGTGAAAAATTAACATGGCAGCAAAAAATCTTGAACAATCCTTTAATTAAAAATTAATGAACAACTGGTATTCATTTTTGCTATATTAGAAAAATATAGGGATTTATTTATTTAGCTCTTGTGCAGATTCTAATGTTTCAGCATTGAATAGGAACTAAGGTACATATGTGTGATGTCCCTATGATTATTTATGGATTATATGTTTAAAGAAGGTACTGTTTTTAGAAATGTGTTGGTTGGAGATGTGTGTATATTTGTTGTATGCAGATGATGCCATATTGTTGGCTAAGAATCTGAAAGATTTCCAGCAAATGTTAGATTGTATGATGCAGCGAATCATACTGTATGATTGTATGATGCAGTGGATCATACTGAAAATTACCATATTGAAGATGAGGTAAGTGATGGGGAAAATGGAGTGAATGATTGCAAGTTATACCTAAAAGACAAAAATCAGAGCAAGTAAATGAATTTATATACCTTAGTAGAATGTTTACTAAAGATGCGGAAATGGAGGAAGAAATTATAGGACCCATAAATACTGGTAAAAAGATAGTGAATAGTATGTGGATTGTTGTGAAGATTATTGAAAAAAGTGCAAATGGTTATGTTTGAGAGTGTGTTTCTGCCCACTCTCTTAGGTGGAAATGAGAGTTGGATGTGTTATAAGAAACATAAATGTAAGCTGGCTGCAGTGGGAATGGGTTGCTTAAGAAATATGAGTGGTAAAATAGGAAGAAATAGGGACAAGAATGAATTGATGAATGAATGTGGTATTAATACAAAAGTGAAAAATAAACACTGTACATTGGTGGTATGGCCAGACAGAAAATATGAATGAGGATCAAATCACAAAGCTAATACAGTGCCTTTGGAAAGTGTTCAGACCCGCTTCACTTTTTTCAATTTTGTTATGTTGCAGCCTAATACTACAATCGTTCAAATTCATTTTTTCCTCATTAATGTACACTCAGTACCCCATAATGACAAAGTGAAAACAGAATTTTAGAAATGTTTGCAAATGTA